AGTGCCTCCCAGCCCCTCCCAGCCCGTCGGCCCCGCCCAGTGCCTCCTGGCCCCGCCCCTCCGGCCGGCCCTGCCCAGTCCCGCCCAGCCCGTCGACCCCGAGCCCCAGGCCCTGAGCTCCAGGCCGGTTACCTGAGGAGCTGCGGTTTCGCGAGCGGTTAGGGGCGTCCCCTCGTCCAGTCACTGCAGCAGGGGGCCGGGTCTGGCGAGGCCAGGAGACGGACGTCCCGTCCCCGCTTCCTCCACTGCCTAATCGGTTCCGCTGCTGCTGCCTGGGAAGCAGGAAAGGAGACGCCGGCCTGTGCACCCAGCTCCTGCGGGCAAGGGGGTCGCTGCGCCCCTAAAGGTCACAGCCACGTCGACGACTGCCCGAGGTACGGGCCTAGGAGAGGAAAGCGTACGGAAACACAGACGAAGAGGTGGGGCAGACGGAAGGCGGAGCGGGCGGGGTAGCCAGCGTGAAGCCAGCAGGTGGCAGGGGATGCGGACGGATGGTGGCGCAGAGAGCTGAGCGCCCGGGAGCGGGCACGGGGCAGGGGCGGAAGCAGGAGAGGGAGGAAAGCGGACTGACTTCATCTTGATCTCTCTCTGTTTCCTTTCCTTGGCTTTCACAAAGGCCGTGGGGTCGAAGCGGAGCGCGCGACCACCTAGGACAGCGTGGGAAAGGAGGCGGGTGGGTCCCAGGACGGGTCAAGGCAGCGCTAGTGCGTCCCCTCCCCACCGCAGCGCAGGGGCACAGACCTGTGGGCGAGGGCGAGGGGCGCGCGGGTCGGCCCCGACCCCGGCTCCCGCGGACGCTCTCCCGGGATGAGGAGCGCGCGGCGCCGCGGCCTCGCGACGTGGAGCGCTCCCGGGACGACAGGGCCCGGTCCTCCCGCGCCGGGGGCGGCTGCACCGGCGGAGTCCGCCTCCTGAGACCACAGGGGTAGCTGTCAGCTTCCTGCCAGCCTCGACAAATCTAATCGCGAGTCTCCTCCCCGACCGCACCCTCTCCGAACCCTGAGGCCCATCCCCATCGGCTCCTAGGCGTGTATTCCTGGGCCCGATACCCTCCCCCAGGCCCCATCCAAACCCCTAAAACATCCGTCTGTCATTTCCCTACATCTTTTCAACAAACCCCCTTCGCCAGACCCTTCTTCCTGGAGTCTTCCACAACTCCCGAAAACCTTCCCAATTTTCCACCACCCAGCCCATAAATGCCAGCAGACCTCACCCTGATCCCACCTGCTGCGCCGCACGCTTTTGCTCCAGGAGACCCTCGGGCTGGCCCCTTTCCCAGTCCCTAGTCCTGAGTGCCAACCCCAAGACTGCGCGCGGGGTACCCCTTCTAACCACTGCACCCGAAATATGTCTGGGCTCCGGGAGGTCCACTAAGCCCCGCCTCCCCTTAAGCCCCGCCCCATTCACCCTACCTGGCCCCACCTTGCCTCTCAAGCTCCACCCCCTCTCAGGCCCCGCCCATCCACCCAGTCGCCCCCAGGCCTGGCCTCTCACCCCCTCTTGTACAAGGCCAGCTCAGTGGTCAGCGTCTTCAGCCGGGCGCGCAGGCTCCGCTCGGATGCCTTCGCCTCCTCAAGCTGCAGGGAGCAGAGAGAGGTGCAGAGGTCCAGACTGAGGCTCAGGTCCACGCCTCGCCGGCCGCCCCCGGGTCACCGCTGCTCACCTCCTTGGCCAGGCGGCGGCAGTCCTGGCCTCGGCGGCCAGCCACCCTGTGCCCAAGGCCGCGTTCCTGCCGCAGCTCCAGCTCCAGCCCACGCACCAACCCACGCAGTCCCTCGGCCTCCTGGCAGGCCACGCGCCCAGCCAGCGCTTCCTCGCGCGATCGGCTCAGCTGCTCCTCCAGCTCCCGCTTCTCGGAAGCCAGGCGCGACACCCTGGGGAAGACAGGGAGAGAGCGCTGGGGAGAGAGGCATGGCCCCATTAACAACTACTCCATAGGGGTGGACGTCCCCACGAAGAGGGAACGCGGTTCCATCACTCTCAACTGCCCCCATGGGGAGGGCAGGGTCCTATTATCTCCCCTCCGACGTGTAAGGAGGGATATGGTCACATCGCCTCCATCTATCCCACGAAGAGGACATGACCCCACCACGCACAGACAGACAGACAGACAGACACACACACACACACACACACACACACCCCTGATGCAGGTGAAGGAGTGGGAACACAGCCACGTGAGTTCCAATTCTAAACGATTTCATCAACCTGTCCACACCCTGAAAGCCTCCTCCTCCCACCTCGCCAGGCCACTCTCGCTGTCTCCCAGTCACGAAATCCTCTACAGTACAAACTTGAACGGGTTACCACCATGCTCAAAACCCTTCCTGGAGAAAATGTATGCACAAGGCTATTCATTGCAGTACAATCTGTAATAACGAGAGTGGAAATAACCAAAATGGACATCAAAAGAGAACCAGCTGAAATTCTAACACATCTACTCAATTGAGTACCACAAAACTATAAAACGATCTCTATAACCCGTCACCAAGTGACTGCCACAACACAGCCCAGGGCAGACAGCATCTCCAGTATCTCCCTTTATGTAAAAGAAACTGGAACTATAAATTATATGTTTGTATTTTCAAAATTATATAATAGAATAAACCAACATCTGTGGTGGGGGAAAGGATTATTTATGGGGAAGGGGGAAATGAACAGAAATTGGACCTCTCTGGATGGACAAAGTGGCTTATGCCTATAATCTCACCACTGTAGAGGCCAAGGCAGGTGGATCACTTGAAGCCAGGAGTTCAAGACCAACCTGGCCAATACAGCAAAACCCTGTCTCTACAAAAATAAGCCTGGCATGATGGCACACGCCTCTGATCCCAGCTACTCAGGAGGCTGAGGCACGAGAATCACTTCAACTCGGAGGGTAGAGGGTCCAGTGAGCCGAGATTGTGCCACTGCACTCCAGCCTGGGTGACAGGGTGAGACTCTGTCTCTAAAAAAAATAAATAAAGTGCAAAAAGAGATAAAACTAAACTATATTGTTTAGGGATGCATGATTCAGCTGACAAAACCATAAGCAAATGAAGTGAGATTAGGTGCATTTGGGAGCATGGTTGGGGTAAGAGGGCCTCTCCTAGAAAAAGACATACAGAGGCTGTGGGGAAATGACCACTTTCAACTTTTCTTTTTTTTGGGGGGGTGGGGAATGGGCGGAGACAGAGTCTCGCTCTGTTGCCCAGGCTGGAGGGCAGTGGCACAATCTCAGCTCACTGCAACCTCTGCCCCCTGGGTTCAAGTGATTCTCCTGCCTCAGCCTTATGAGTAGCTGGGGCTATAGGCATGGGCCACCCTGCCCAGCTAAATTTTTGTATTTTTTGTAGAGAAACGGTTGCACCACGTTGGCCAGGCTGGTCTCAAACTGCTGACTGCAGGTGATCCACCCACCTCAGCCTCCCAAAGTGTTAAGATTACAGGTGTTAGCCACCATGCCTGGCCTCAAGTTCTTCACCTGTGTAGTTGTTACATGGAGTCCCAGGCTTACCTAGTGTTGGGCAGTGTGCCTGGTACACAGTTCGAACTCCATAAATGTTGGCTTTATGATAATTTGTGAAACTGTACATTTATATTGTATGCCCCTTGGCGTGTATTATATTTCACAATAAGAAAGTTAAGTAATGCAAGTAGTGGAACTCTTGGGCAGCAGGGAGGGATCCCATCCCAGAGATTCAGGTGTACATGGCGTCTCCGGAGGAGTCAGGGCCTGCCCCAGAACTCCTCACTGCTCACATTTTTTAAAAGAAAAATAGGGCCGGCACGTGGCTCACACCTATAATTCCAGCACTTTGAGAGGCCAAGACGGGTGGATTACTTGAGGTCAGGATTTCGAGACCAGGTTCAGACAATGATACAAAAATCGTGTGACTGCACTCCAGCCTGGGCAATAGAGCAAGACTACATCTAAAAAAAAAAAAAAAAATACAAAAATTAGCTGGGCATGATGGCACATGCCTGTAATCCCAGCTACTTGGGAGGCTGAGGCAGGAGAATTGCTTGAACCCAGGAGGCAGAGGTTGCGGTGAGCCGACACCAGGCCACTGCACTCCAGCCTGGGCGACAGAGTGAGACTCTGCCTCAAAAAAAGAAAAAGAAATGGTGTGTCTACAGGACAGCCAGGGCACTGGGAGTTTTCAAAGCTCCCAGGCAATTTGAGTGCAAATCCACAGTGAACCACTGCATTGGTAGAAAGGCTGAAGAGATCTTTATAAAAGAGGGAGCCCGCTCTCAACGGCTGAATTCATCAGTATCAACACCACCACCAAAGCGGGTATCTTGCCAAAACCTACCCCACATCTGATTAAACAATATATGGGCTTAGCCACCACTTCACTGGAAGTACAGGAGACAGAGGAGGACGTTAAATGACACCATGAAAATAAAATCAGCAAAATCTATTTCTCATTTTTCCATCTGAATATGCTTGCTAGGGAAAAAAATCAGCCAAATCTAGACTGCAAAACTCTACTGGACAAATAACCTGATTTCTTCTACAAATAAAGAGCATGAAAAGTAGAGAGGGGGATATAAATTAAAAGAGATTTAAGAAATACCTCAGCCAAGCTCAGTGGCTCATGCCTGTAATCCCAGCACTTTGGAAGGCTGAGGCAGGTAGGTGGCTTGCATTCAGGAGTTCAAGACTAGCCTGGCCAACATGGGCAAACCCTGTCTCTAAAGAAACTAAACTTAGCCAGGCATGATGGCAAGTGCCTGTAGTCCAGCTACTCAGGAGGCTGAGGTGGGAAAATCATTTGAGTCCAGGAGATCGAGGATATAGCGAGCCAAGATTGTACCACCATACTCCAGCCTGGGCAAGAGAGCAAGACGAAAGAAAAGGGAAGGGAAGGGAAGGGGGAAGGAAGGAAGGAAGGACCTCAACAAACTGCAGCGTGCAGCCGTCTTTAGATACAAGATGAATTTAAACAAGTCGTTTGCAGAAAAGACACTTGAGAGGTCATCAGACAAGTGTGAATGCATGCACAATGGATTTCAGATGATATGGAATTTTTGTGGGTTTTCTGTGTTTTTTTGTTCGTTTGTTTGTTTTGAGAGTCTTGCTCTGTTGCCCAGGCTGGAATGCAGTGGTGATCTCGGCTCACTGCAACCTCCGCCTCCCAGGTTCAAGTGATTCTCCTGCCTCAGCCCCGCTAGTAGCTGGGGCTGCAAGCGCGCACCACCATGCCCGGCTAATTTTTTTGTATTTTTGTAGAGACGGGGCTTTACCATGTTGGCCAGGTTGGTCTTGATCTCTTGACCTCATGATCCGCCTGCCTCAGTCTCCCAAAGTGCTGGGATTACAAGCGTGAGCCACCGTGTCCAGCTGGAATTTTTGTTAATTTTGTTGGAGGTGACAGCACACTTATATGCTTCTATGTTAAAGATACACAGTGAAGCTTTTACAGAGGAGCTCCGAAGACTGGGATTTGCTTCAGGGCAGGGGGCGGCAGCACATCAAACAAGATGGGTGAGTGGGTAACTACTGAAGCCGGGGACAAATACATGCAATTTATACTACTGTTTACTTTTGTGGTGCTTGGAATTTTTCCTAATAAATCCTTCTTAAAATCTGTGGTTCCCCACACTCTCCACCAAGGAGCTTTCCCTTCGGCCCCTGCCCATCTGACTTCTCTCCTTTCCTCCTACCTCCCTCTCCCACAAGGCTCCAGCCAGATGTAATTCTCACCTCCGAGAACATTCTCTCCTTCTGGCAGGAACGATTCCACTCATCCAGGAAATCTAGCTGCCCTGATGTTCTCCGCTCTCCCAGCCCTCTGTACCTTTCCTTCCTAGCACCAACCCAGGCAGAGCTGGCGTGCAGAGGAGAGTATGTTTCCCATCTGGATCCCACCTTTCTGGGGACAGAGCCTCCCTCTGTCTGGTTCACAGGACCCCAGGCTGCATGGCCAGGCAGGCTTGTTAACAAGCTGGGTGGCCCTGGGCAGTTTCACTTCGCATCTCTGAGCCTCAGGCCACTTTTCTCACCTATTCCACTGTAAGCATCTATTTACAGTGCTTAGACCATCTCTGCATAATAAACATTAGTGTCAGGCAGTGTGCTTGGCACACAGTGCGAGCTCCATAAATGTTGGCTGAATGAATAAGTCTCGGAACCTTCCCAAACTTCCTAATTCCTGCCTGGGAAGAGGAAGGTAAGAAGCCATTGAGCAGCCATGGGATTCCAAGGCTCTTGTGGTTGGTTCCTAAGGCTGGAGGGCGCCACCTTGTGGCTATCTTGGGAAACACACATCCATAAACACAAACCTAGAAACACACACACACACTCTCTCTGATCGCACACACCCATAAACACAAACCTAGAAACACACACACACACATCACAAGGCTCCTGTGGTTGCTTCCTAAGGGCGGAGGCCGCCACCTTGTGGCCACTTTGGGAAACACACACCCATAAATAGAAACCTAGAAACGCACACACACTCTCTCTCTGATCGCACACACCCATAAACACAAACCTAAAGATACATACACACACACTCTCTCGCTGATCGCACACACCCATACACAAACCTAAACACACATACACACACACACACACACACACACACACACATCACAAGGCTCCTGTGGTTGGTTCCTAAGGGTGGAGGGCGCCACCTTGTGGCCATCTTGAAAACACCCATAAACACGAACCTAGAAAAACACAGTCTCTCTGATCACATACACCCATAAATACAAACCTAGAAACACACACAGACACACACACTCTCTCTGATCACACACACCCGTAAACATAAACCTGGAAACACACACACACACACACAGAGTCTGTCTGATCACACACACAAACACAAACCTAGAAACACACGCACACACACTCTCTGATCACACACACCCATAAACACACACAGTCTCTCTGATCGCACACACACATAAACACAAACCTAGAAACACACAAACACACTCTCTCTGATTGCACACACCCATAAACACAAACATAGAAACACACACAGACACACACACACACACACTGATCGCAAGGCTCCTGTGGTTGATTCCTAAGTGTGGAGGGTGCCGCCTTGTGGCCATCTTGGGAAACACACACCCATAAACACAAACCTAGAAACACACACACTCTCTCTGATTGCACAGACCCATAAACACAAACCTAGAAACACGCAAACATACACTGATCCCAAGGCTCCTGTGGTTAGTTCCTAAGGGTGGAGGGCGCCACCTTGTGCCCATCTTGGGAAACACCAATAAACACAAACCTAGACACACAAACACACACGCACACACACACACAATCACAAGGCTCCTGTGGTTGGTTCCTAAGGGTGGTGGCCGCCTCCTTGTGGCCATCTTGGGAAACACACACCCATAAACACACACCTAGAAACACATACACACACTCTCTCTGATTGCACACACCCATAAACACAAACCTAGAAACACACACACAAACACA